AGTAATTAATTGTACATAACAGGAGTTTCACATTTTTTTGTTTCATAAGGATAAACATTCAGCCAGATATTAGCGTCGACCATATGTAATAACATGCGGTAAATCCGAAGAAAGTTAAGAGATTACACTTATTTTATAAACAAAAGTTCTCGAAAATTGACGTGGATAGAAAAAACAATCGTGGGGACTGGAATAAAAGATGACGTAAGTGAGTCAACAAACGGATATGTTGAGACAGCAGATTGTGTAAAGCATAGTAAGTCCAACTGAATTAATAAACCTATCAAACGTAAAACTGAGACAAGTCAGATCTGAAACACTGGCTGAGACCTAGCTTCCTTGTTCGAAGAAAGGTTTACTGCAATTCAATTCGAGTCCAAGACCAGCCACCTGGTAGATTTAAATGCAAAATTAAGAAAAGGAAGGAACGAGTGGTTCAAGGATGGGTTGATTGAAGTTACCAACCAATATCTCATCATACGGACCCTACCGTTGACAGTTTTATCGAAACAGCTGTAAATGGCATTAAAAATTTCAAGAAAAATAACCAAATTGTGATGAGACCAGATAAAGTTTCTAGTGTTTGAATAATAAGTGATGGAGATTACGTCATCAAGATGAAATAAACTTAAAAATCAACAGCTGCAACAAAGATTTGACGGTTTCAACAGAAAAGTGAATCGCAAAGATACTGAAATGACTCTTGATAAATAAATTGACTAATAATCCTACACAATAATTTTAGGCCTCAAAGATCCCGGCCTATTCATATGCATAGACTACCATAAATCCACAAGCAGAATGTTTCATTTAGACCTATACTGTTGAATATCAATCTACCGCAAAGCAAATCACCTCGTTGGATGGCTGAGAAATTGGAAACTGGTCTCTGAAGATTTGGGGTACACAACTGGAAGGATTCATAGGCTGTAATTCAGAGGTTGCTAATTTGAATCCAGCCGTGACCTTAGTTTTCATATTATCTTAAGAGATTACCCATTATTATAAGTAGATTTTGTAAAATATAATGAGTTCAACTCAATTAATTAATGTAAACATGTCATGTTGAATGAAAGACGATGTAGCAAAATAAGAATGAAAGTTCACAGGTAGATTTAGCAAAAGAATTATGTAAACAAATAAAAGTTAGTGTATTTTTGAGATGGATGGGGATTTTTAATTTAGAAGTAGCATTCATCATGGACTGACATCAGCTGGGGAACCATTGAAAATCTGGGAGCACTAGACCCCTAGCCGGGTCGTAGGTGCGCACTGTTGAGGAGTCCCATACTAGGACGAAACAGCTGTCCAATGCTCCCAGATTTTCAATGGTTACCCAACTGATATCAGCCCATGATGAACACTACTTCTAAAATAAAAGTTAAATAAAGGAACCGGATTACGAAGATGAAGGCAGATTGATGACTTCTTTCTGAACTAGGTTTCAGACAGTTGATTGTCATAGCCTAAACAAAACGTAGGAAAGCCAAGTCAGTTAACTAGAAAGAATTCCATAAGTTCGTCCATTGTCTTGTATCAATTAGATGCCAAGGTTTGCTTGATAATTTCCTGTTGCGATACTGGGTCGAATTGCTCTACTTCTGTTGGTAGATGAGTTCCTATGCGTATGCCTCGATCCTACCGAATAATTATGCTGTATTCATCTTACTGACTTGTGGTGAAATCCAGGACGCGCGTTCCATCTTATTCAGGAATCGTCAGCTACATGTACCTACATCCCAGTGAGTTATGTTGTTCCCACTGAAACTTGTACCCAATGCCCATAGTTTTAGACGGCAAAGCATTATCCACTAGGGCACAAAAGCCACCTCTTGCGTACAGATATCAGGTGTTGTTTGATACCTTTAATTTTATGTCACTATACAGGGTCCAATTGGTCGTCCTGTATTCCATAGCTAGTCACCAAGATGAATACAGCATGAATGCCGATTTGTTGCACCGCTGAAAATGTTGTTCAACCTAACATATGAGGCTTTAGCAGCGTGTTCAGAAAATTTGTGATGGGCCCTTCTTTCAGTTCTTCCAACGTACTTCCTTTAGTAACTGCACATAAATTGATCCAGACAGTATGATGCAATATAGGAACGTAACCTGTTGACTTTTAACTGCATTAATGAACCAGCTGTTTCGAATAAAACAGTCAACTCAGCTGCAGGAAATGTTTTTTTCAATGCTGTATGTTTTCAGTGGATCCCCCCTGTATAATCATCACCTTTAGAGTCAGCCGTAATCTTCGGGATGTCTTTATCAGTTCTCGCATATGCGCCGTTAAACTTTAGTAGATAGTCGTTGCTTTTTAAGCGCTTCTCAATTATTTGTAACGCTTCGTTCAGTTTATCATTCGGAGATATGATTTCACGCAAGATTCCAACTAGTGTTCGGCTGTAACTTACTGGACCAAAACTGTCGACAGCTCATATCATTGGATCTTTCATAGAAGAGAGCGGTGTTTGGCATTGCCAACAAAATGGAACTTGTTATTATTGACGTGCTCCACAGTGAGCCCAATAGTAACTAAACAAGCTCAATAAGTAATCATATTCAAGAACTTAAGTGCGGTTGTATGGTGTAATTCCATACTAGGTTTCTGAATTCAATATAAAACTACTCAGGAACTTTACAAGATTAGACAATTTTTTCCTTAACTACTTACGTTAAGTATTTTAGCACACAGAAGCGATTAGCATGAAAATAACTGACATCATAGGATGATATCAGTTGAAGAGTTATCTTAATCTATGAACCGATCCATTTTGAAACAAATCAGTTCCCTTGAAAACACTTATAATATCGGAATACTTCAGTGGTTACTGATTTCAAGTATATATCCTACACCGTTCAAGTCTAAATAGATACTCAAAGACTGTGACAACTTTACACTAGGCGTTTCAAACAACAGTTAATCGTAATATGACTCATCATGCGATCAGTGATAGGGGCAGAAGATATAAACGACGTGCGTGCAAGCCACGCCGAAGCATCATAATGCTTTTCCGCTAGTTGAAGTTATTCAAGATCGAAAAGCTTTCAAGAAAATTCCGAAGTATAAAATCAAAACTGTGTTTTTCCCTCCAAGAATTCAAATATAGGCCTAAGATATATATTTATAATTTTTCAGACTGATACCTGAGCATTGACGTTGTGCGCTAACGTTAAGTACTTTAAAGTTTCACTGAAAATTTTATAAACCGCGATCACATACTCAGTATGTAGAGATAATGAATGACTGCATGCCACAATCTGAGTTAGGATGAAACTATTTAGTCTAAAAGAAAATGAGTGAATATCAACCTGGATCGAATCAAAACGAGTGGTTTTCACTTTAATACTTCATAACATCTTTAAAATACCACAACGAATAGCCATTCAGTCGCATTTTACAATCTAAGAGCACATTATAACTAATACTGCAAACTAGCAGGGTGAAGTTGAGCGGACAAGAATGATACAACTATGTAGTATATGTATCATAAATGGTAAACATCTATTCCCCGGCCACGCATACTAGTTACCGGGGGATGAGAGAGATAAGGAGAACAGAGTAATCAATGGAAATAAAAGAGCTACAGAAATCTGGGAGAGTTTAGTGTATTGATTAATACATCCTTGTTTTCCACACTGTGGAGGTCGATATCCTCACCATGTCTTGAAACGATAAATGAATTGGTTTTACCTTAACACATAATCTAAGAGACCTGTAATTGAAGTCGATTACATGTCACTCCTTAAGCGTTGACGGCTACATTTTCATGCTTTCGTTATGGAACTAGAGGCCTGGAAACGGCAAAGTAAGGAGTAGTTACAGCTTCCAAACTAATTCTTTCCCTCACCCCCTCCTTTTTCGTATGATAAAGTAGTGATTCTCGGAACGCTGATCACCTGATGAAAAAAAACATCGTCATCACAACTAGCCACCACCAAAAAACTGTGCTCACAAACCATTCCCTAATCAATTTTATTTGGACAACAGCAGTGACCTCTAAAAATCCCTAATTTGATCTATCTCTCTCTCCTTCAAATAATATTTCGAACTCTGCTGTTGCCCAAATTTTCATTTCACCTTCATTCATTACCCAGTATCAATACAAGTCTGCTAGACCACAACTACCTTAGACAGTCAAAATGATAATCACTATGATGCTCCCCCTCTCTAATTCAAGTAGATCTCGATTCGGATAAGAAGTCCTGATTGGACACACAGTGAGTACGGTCAAGCGGTGGTAACGCATTACGAATTTTCATGGCAGTCGGGCAAAACCTTTTGTGATTAAAGTGAAGTAAAAAAACGATTAGCGCTCAAGTCTCAAACCTTAGTTGATAAAAAACCGGTGGTTGTTGGTTCGAATCTTGCCGCGGCCCAAATTTTCATTTTACCTTCAATCATCATCCAGTAATAATATTTAGACTTCTTGTCCTACAACAGCTGGGAAAAATCACATGGCTTTGAAAGAAATGCCCTTCTTGATCGATGTTTTTTAGTGTAACTCAAGAAAGAAAATTACAACTTCAGTTTTATCCGAAAGCCTCAACCAGAATATGTGATTTTTAACTATCAACGAAGCAGATCACTTTATACGTTTGATGGAACAAAAGTTCATCATTTCGCTGCGGCCGATTTAACTTAAATTACGACCAAGTACACCACTATATAGAAACAAATAAATATTTATTTGATGAATTCGTTACCAGACCAAATAATATTCATATAAATCAAAGAATACGGAAGTAATGGAACAGAAATGAAAATAATCATAATTTTCAAAGTAGTATGTGTATATAAAATAAGAATCTGCATATTTCTATAAATATCACACGTGTAATATACACATTGATAAATTGTAGAAATAATAAATTAAGATGAACAATTACAGACGAATAAATAAATCAATCCATAAATAAAGCAAGTTAGATATTTATCTTTTAGAAATGTGGTCAACGACCACATTGGATCATTGATCTACTGAGCAGTTAAATTGAAATTAGGAATATTTGCTTATGAAAGCTTTGTGAAATTCTTCTAACTGTTTCATAACATACTTCATTTTTTCAACAGAAGGTAGAATGGTTGTCCTGCGTTAATAAAATCAGAGAACAAATGCATAATATAACACACCAACAAATCAGGACATAGGTGGAATCAACAGATACGACACGTCACGATAATGCAACTATAATATGAACGCGGATTCGCATATTGAATCGGTGAATAAAAATGTAACACTGAAGAAAATATTCTTTTTGATGATTTCATTTAGTGAGGCTGTACTATTGCATGCATAATTGCTGGAAACAATCTGTTATTAATGAATAGGACCATGTCGAATGGAATCAAAATCCACTCAACAACCTTGTGCAAGTTCGTGATCAAACCGGTAACCCATTGGTTTAAGGTTATCTCCCTAAAGCAATGAACCACAGCTCCATATATAGAGGGCTACGTGATTACCATAGTTTTCAGCAGTAGAATAACAACTTGTTTCTAAATGCAGAAACAGTATACAGCTGCTTTAACCATAATAAGGTTAATGACTCCACATACACCAAGATTAGGTAAAAGGTTGTGAACCATCAAATGATTCAACTATGCATAGATGAATTAGTTCAACTCCTTTGGAACTGTGTAGAGGTAGGCTGCAAATTTCTTTGTAAGAATTACTGGGAGCGGTCAGATGACCACAGAATACAAACTGTTCAGGAATAGAACTGATGATGTCTTCTTTTCCTGTCTCCTATAGATAACAAAACTGGAGAATCTTCCAAAATATGTTGACAGACTTTACTATTGGTCCCGCCAATGCATTTTGCTCCACAAGAATAGGTACACTGATAAATGCACAATTAGGTGATGCGAAGTGATATTCTCTCCTTAACACATGGATGAATTGACTGTCTACTGGCAAAGACAACCCATGTAGCTATGTAAAATGTTTTCCTCAAAGATCTTAAAAAGTGATCCGTGAGGATTTCAGCTATAATGTTTACGCTTAAATTTTGTTGTAGTCACATGATCCTATTGATCAATGATGAACTGTTATTTATTTCTAATAATCATAAAAATATAATTGTATAACTTTAGGAAATAAAATTGTTGAGAGGAAAATTCTACTTCTTAGAAATATGATGTATGTTATTTAAATTTGAAAAGATTTTATTGTTAAGATTATTATTATTATTATTTGTCCCTTCGGTTCCTAATGGAACATAGGGATTCTGTAGCACGTCTCCAATGCGCTGTGTCCTCTGAAATCTTTTGAACCTGGTTCCACAACAGCACACAAGCTCTCATTTCCTCCTCACACGATCTCCTCCATGTCACCCTCACCTCGGACACCCAACTCGTTGCTTCCTATCGGGGTACCACTCGAGGACCTGACGCGTGATGTCCCCAGTCGGCCTTCTCACTCTATGCCCAATCCATCTCCACTTCCTCCTGCATATTTGTTGAGCGATAGCTTCTTGGTTGGTTCGCTGCTAGCCAGCCAGAGTTCATTGTTGCTTATTCTTGTTATCCTGGCCATCTGATCTTCAGTAGCGAGCCAGCGTAAGCAGTTGTTGATGAATGTCTGTAGTTTGTTGGAAATCCCTTTCGTGACGCGCCAAGTCTCTCAGCCATACAGGAGCACTGACTTGACTGAAGTTGGTGTTGAAAATCCGGATCTTGTTCACGCATCATGCTGAGTGCAGAAGATCTTGACACTGGTTTCAGACAAATAAACACCTGTCTTGCTTTTCCGATTCTGACTTTGACATCCTCGTCTGTGCCTGTGCCGCCTGTAGTTGGAACAGTGCTTCCTAGATAGGTGAAAGAGGCTACTTCCCTTAAGTTTCTCTCCTTAACGGTGATTGGAGTTTGTTGTTGTTGGAGTTGTTGGTGCGGTATCTTCATCACCTCTGTCTTCTCTATATTCACTTGAAGTCCCGTCTTCACTGCCTCTTCTGACAACTTGTTAGTTTTCGCCTGCAGATCTTCAAGTTTGTGTGACATCAGGCACAAGTCATCACTGGCGAAATCCAAGTCTTCTAGGTTCTTTTCCACAGTCCAGCCAGCCTATCCCCCTCTTCTCACAGCTCCCCACTGTTTGCTGCATGATCCAGTCCAGTCGATCACAATCAGAAATATCATGGGGAATAGTAGGCAACCTTGTTTCACTCCTGTCTTCACTTCACTTCAGTGGCATCACTGAGCTTCCCATTGTGAATTACTTGGCATGTGGCATCTTCATATAGTTGTTGAATGAGGTGGATAAAGGTTGGTTTGCGGTACTCCGTAGTAATGAAGCAGTTTCCAAATTACTTCTCGGCCGACGCTGTCTGAGGCCTTCTCAAAGTAGATGAAGTTGAGGTAGAGAGTCGACTGCCATTCTATACTCTGTTCTATGATGATGCGAAGGGTTGCAATTTGGTCCGCACATGACTTGTACTTCCTGAATCCAGCCAGCCTGTTCCGGTCGTAGTTTTGAATCCAGTGCATCCTTTAGTCTCTCCAAGATGATGCGGCTTAAGATTTTGTTTTTGTTCTTGCAAACACTTAGGTCTCCCTTCTTCGGCAGTTTGACAAGGTAACCATTCTTCCAATCGCCAGGTACCTTCCCTTCCCGCCACACCTTCTGCAATAGTGGTGTGGTGTGAGCATGTCTGCTGTTGTCTCTGCGTCTGCTCTCAGTGCTTCTAGCGGGATCCCGTCTGGTCCTGCTGCTTTCCCACATTTCAGTAGCTTTATGGTGTTCAGGACTTCCACTCTTGTTGGAGGATTTATGTTCACTTGTAGTTCAGCAGCTGCAGGTGGTATTGTATTTCTGGACGAAGTGCAGGTGGTGGTGGTGGTCGATTCAAGAGCTTCTTGAAGTGGTCGGTCCATCGTTTCCTTTGTTTCTCTTCTTTCGTAATTAAATTTCTGTCATCATCTTTTATTGGTTTCGTCCGCGTTGATCTCTTCCCAGATAGCAACCTAGTTATTTGATACAATGTTGTCAGGTCTCTCTCTCCTACCTGCAGCCTGTTCTGCTTCACTTGCCAGTGTTTCGTAGAAATGTCTTTTGTCTTTCCAAGCACTCTTCTCCACTTCTTTGTCCAGTGTTTTATACATTGTACTCAGTTCCTCTTGTCGTTGAGCTTCCTTGCACTGGTTTATCTTCTGCTTCACCATCCTCCTCTCCCTCCTCTATCAGCTTCCATGTATCCATTGAGATCCACTCCTTGTCTTCTTTCTTCTTCCTTCCTAATACGGCTGTACAGGTTTCTTTCCACATCTCTTCCAAAGACTTCCAGTGTTCTTCCACACAGGTTTCTCCAGGGATGTTGCTCGATGTCTCCCATTTTGTCTTGATGGCTGACGTGAAGATCTCCTTTGTAGTTTCATCCTTCAGTTTCCGAGTGTTGTACTTGACTGCGGTCTATCACCAGCTTCCTTAAAGGCTTATAACTCGATTTAGAAGGTTCCTTGCACTAGACAGTGAGTGGTGTGAACCTACATCTGTTCCTCTTCTTGACCTTGTGTCAAGTAGACTGCGTCTTCACTTTATTGAGATTGAGATAAAGTCGATTTGATTTTTAGTGTGTCTATGTGGTGTCTGGTGAAATCCATGTCCCTGGCTTTATGGATATTCTTGTGCTTGAACACACTGCCTCACTGCAATCACCAAATCGTTGAATGCACAGACTTCTGCAAACAATTCTCCATTCTCGTTCATCACCCCATCGAGTGCTTCTCGGCTCATGGTTAGTTCTCTTCCTGCGTTGTCCCCCCTCCCAGTTTGGCATTCATGTCACCCCACCCATTAGAATTTTGATATTGCCAACTGACGTCTTGTCCAGTGCTGATTGCAGTTGTCTGTAGAAATCCTCCTTCTTCTCTTCATCTGCTTGATTATTTGTAGGTGCACAGTGTAGCATTGTATGATTGTGACCTTCCCTCCTTCCTTTTGAGTTGAATCTTGCTGTCATGATTCTGATCGTTGAGGAGATTGGTTCCCACTGCATGAGAGAGAGCCTTCGATGCTGTTGGGGACATCATGATAGCCACTGGAAAACTCAGTGTGCTCGTGGTTGTCGTCTGGGTGACAATATCGGAGTAGGATTCTGATTCTTTAGTTAACAGTTTGGAGAGTCCACTCCCATTCCATCTGCTTTCGCAAATTAAAAGCACTTCAATGTGATACATTCTCATCTCGTTTGCAATCTGGGCTGCCTTACTGGGTTCAAACATGGTGCGGTCATTCCATGTCCCCACGTTTACTTTCGCTTTCATCGAGTGAGAGAAGACACATCGGCCAATTGGCTTCCCGAAAGCTTTCACCAACCGGCGTCATTTCGCCTCTCCGATTCCAGGGAGGAATAATTTTGTTTTCATTTTTTATATTTCGTTTGTGCTTTGAAGTTTGTTTAGCGGTTAGATTTGTTTTACGGGGTAGGGTTGCTAGCCCTATGCCCAACCTTCCCTGTTTACCCGGGCTTAGGACCGGCTAGTAACTAGTGAACTAGTTAACCAGGCGCGGTTTATTGTTGAGATGGTGATGAATATTTACGCTTCATGTTTTGTGATGTGTTTACAAGAAGACGAAGTCGATACATGATTTGATCGTTAATTTTTTTTCAGCACAAGTCTGAAGATAACAGATAGACATAACGAGATATATATTTGTAAAGGACGACGTTATTTAACTGCCTTCATAATAACTCAGGGTCGATAGGAAACCAATGAATTCACCTTCTGATCCATTTTACTCAAAAAGCATCGTAGATGATTGGAGTACATGCAAGTTTGAAAAGTAAAAGTTGGCAAGAATATAAGGATGAATTATGCAAGGAAGAGTGAAGATTCGAAGTAATTTTATGCATTAATCTAGAACAGAGAAGGCACGTTTTAAGGAGACTTTCATTACAGTTTATTACCAAGTTTATCAGCTATTGAAAGTAGAGAACATCTGGTTACTCAATTCCTCTCAGGTTTTAGTTCATTATCACATGTATTTGAACGCAAACTTTAAATCCTAACTTTAAGAATGTGAAGCGCTGAATTTTGGTATGATGAGTTCGAGTGGAAATGGGGCGTTGTTTGGAAACAAAAAACACAAAAAAAGTGGACTGGATCTATGTAAGTGTTAAAAAACACGTCCTGATGAAGAAATTTAGTCCAAAACCAAATGCATATTTAATAGTTATTGATTATAGATATTTTTTTCGTTTTCGGATAAATATCAAGTTCATACCTACGACCAGTTCTAAAACTAGTATCATCAATACAAAAGTATATTACATTTCATAAGAAAATATAAAAGAATAGAGAGATAGAGTAAGAAAAACACGAGATATCTATTTTCAATAAACATTACTGGACGCTTATGTAAGCAGTGCATCTACCATGTTCATCTATGATTTTAAAAATAGTATCTTTCAAGCAAATGTTATTTATTCAATATCTAATTGATATAAATTGTTAGGAACGCATAATCTCTGTTATTCATAAATATTCTAATGACTCAATAATCAGTTATAAAGCTACTGTTAACACAGAGAGAAAGAAGTGGAGAAATAAACAGTGGAGGAAAAAAAACCCAATAAATATCCTATAATAAATACATTTTAACACAGTAATAAAATGATTTTATTTAAATTGATAGAGACTTTATTGACACAAATACAATAAATAGGTGGCAAAACATTGAACTGGTATTAGTGAGGGCTTTGGCTTTGAGAAATTTAAGCGCTATTTTCATTCAAGTTAGAAAATGTTCACGAAGTATTTACTACTGAAGAACATAAACAGTTCGAAACCACGTCATGACGGAAGTAATATAAACGTTACAGGGTTTCTCTGCTCGTGAGAAACGAGCCTAATCAGTAGTCTGTACATACAACTCAATAGTATCTATCCAAAGGCTCCTATGGTCACCACCTTCCCGAAACGAATCAGCTATCATAGTTCAGGTATTCTTGAAAACAGCAGAATTTAACCGAATTCTTTCAAACTCATCTCAAGCAGTGAATTTCTTAAATGTTTAATGATGGATAATGGCTAGCAGTGAGATCCAAGACGAGTGTTTCGTCCCATTCAAGACTCATCAGTTACATGTACCTGTCTCATTGTGAGTGATGTTGTTCTTTTAAAGGCTTAAGTCATTCCAATACAATACAATATTTCATGAAAAAAAAACTATTGGTAAGTGAATGAAGTCGAAAACGACATTTCAAGTCAGTCAATTCTGAGGCAGAGGTTCACATGCTTCACAATTCAATCTATACAACTGACTGCTTTGTCAGAGTATTTTTTATTGTGCAGTCTAGAGCTTTTTTAGACCAACCAGAAGAAATTAGTCAGTCAATTTCTTGCTGTCCTTCCAAGTATATTCAAAATGGTACAATACAATATGATGAAAAGATTTTCACAAGCCTAGGGTCATCTTTTGTATGTTCTCTCGGACCAGTGAAGGACTGGGTACTAAGAAAACGGCTAACATGACAAAAGAATTTTTCAAACTATTCACTATACTCCATATCTTTATTTGTGTCACCTTAAAACAAATAAATGTTAGGTGTTCTGGAGAAGTCATCAAAAACATTACAGATTCTGGTTATTAGAATGTATGTAAAAATTAAAGGGGATAGAAAATATTATTTTTATGGGACAAAACGGTCGCCTACCTAAAATGATATGTTCCTTCCTTTTGTCCAAAACCTGAACCGGGGACAACACATATACCTTTTTCTTCTAACAGTTGTAAACAATAAAAGAAATCTGGAGCTTGTCCTCTTTTCTGTAGTTGATAAATATGAAATATTAAAAGAATTAGTAAGGACAAGATAAATTTGGACAAGTGCATTGAACAATCTTTAGAATGTCGAATGTATTATACATTAGTAATAAACTGAGACAAATTTTCTACATGAGATTTTTGTCACATGAAACCCCTTAGAGCTGTTATTGTTCTAGACAGAGGTTTTAATGACGTAGTAGTCATTAATTTCAAGATGAACAGATTCAAAATATGCCTCTGGCCAGAATGGCTCAAAGTTGGCATCCACTGAAGAGAGTAGCAACCTAGTAAAATCATATTATTATTGACTGTCATTATTCAGTGCACAAGCTGCCAAGAAGTTCAAACGGCTGTCACCTGTCCATTAAATTCACTGTGAAAGAAGAGTTAAATTCAACGTTCCACTTTCCAGACGTAATGTTAAAGAGAAGGGATGATGGTTCGACTCATAGGTCAGTCCATCGTAAACCAACTTGGAGTGGCTAGTTCACTAACTTTAATAGTTGGATATAAGAAATCTCATTCATTTGCCGTGTTCCAGAATCTGTAAAATCTGTTCAGAAGACATAGTGTATGTTGAAATCGAAACTCTTAGAACAAAACTATTGAATAACGGATGCCCTAAAAGACTCATTGGTAAAAGTATGAAGAAACAAATCACCCCTCATCTTATCACAGTTCCTAAGAAAATCCCAATCATGAATCTGGAATTCATAGGAGATACCATGGCCGAAGTGCTAAAAACCGTCCGTTAAAGTGTATCAATAGTGGCTTTTATGCTGCTAGACTGAGACTGATTTTCTCCAGCAGCCATCTGATTCCACACCGCGTGAAAAATAGGCTACCACTTATGTCCACATCTATGTGTACCTACAAGTTCACTCGCTCCTATGGAGATGACTATAATTGGTCGTTGTAAGCAGACCCTCCAAAAACGTGTTGCTGAACATTACGCAGTTTAGCTTACAAAGGCAAGCGAAGAAAACAACTTAATCCATGTATGAACACCTAGTAGAGTTAGGTCATTCAGCACCTCGAGATTCATCCTCTAAGGTAATTTACGAAGTCAAAATGAACTACTCCAAAAGCCTACGTTTTCACTACTTATGCATAGCTGATGCATTAGCTATACATGAACAAAAACCGAAACTTTACATTCAAAAACGTTTTGTGAAACCACTTTCTCTACCTTGGCCTTAATAATTCATTTTGGTTATTTTGTCCATTTCATTTCACATCACTTTAGTATACTTCTCTTTTATTATCACAGTTATCACCAATTTCACTTCATTGACAGCATCTGACCCATATTTCATTATTTGGTATCAATTCGTTCCTTATTCATTGACCCATTTTCTATTTTTTCCACTTGAACAAACCCCACCAACAACACCTATTGTATATTTTGCATGTTAACTGAGCAACTTTTCAGCACAATTATTTGTCATTTTACCGATTATAAATACGACTTTAGAGCTTGATAATGAAGTCACTGGAAAAAAAATTTCTTTGCTGATACATGTCTTATTCTCATTCTTGAATAAATGGGTATATTTCGTCAGTATTAGAGCAAAACCTGAAGACGATCCAATTGAAAACAATATTGTTCATTTATATGTCTTGTTCTTATTTATGATAAGAAAAGACATTGGAAAACTTTAGGTACTATGTTCCTTCAAAGTAAACTATTACTTAAAAATGAGTGTGCACAAACACTCAGCTTAAAACAAATATATACACTGACTTCACCCGTCTAAACATATGAGATGGCTCTGATGGAACGAATGTCTATAAAACCTCAAATGGAAAAATACACAGTCCCAACTGAATACTAAAATACTGAAGTAAAACAGATACTTCATTGCTGTTAGTCAGTCGGTATCAAGATAAGATTTGGTAATACTGCATAATAGTTCAGCTTCTTAGTAAACTTGCATCGGTGCACCAAGACAGGATGGATTAATAAGAAAGGCAGAGAAATTGAAATAATAAAGACAAGAGTTATAAAAAGGGAGAGAAGGTAAACAGAAAAACAAAACGTGATATAACGATCGAGTTAACACTACAATAATTTCTCTTAGACTTCGGTAACCTACATGAAATATTCAAACAATTCTAAATTTTTATATATATATATATATATATATATATATATATATATATATATATATATATATATATATATATTCGTATAAGCATTAACCATCATTTTACTTTTAATTGTCTCGTTAGCTTTACTCTGTTTACCATGAACGAAGAGCTTCACTATTTCGATATGCAGGTTTCGATAAGCACTCAAATTGTAACCCACTTATTCGGCCCTGGCTAGTTAGATAGTTTTATCATGCCTTGCAAAAATAAGCGATTGCCAATCCAATACTTGAATGTATAAGTGTTTACTGAATAAGCAACAATCTATCCGTGCTACTTGCTGTCTAAATTGACACATCCAAACACCTCCATCCTTCATAAGTGGAAATCTGATAGATCTTCAATAAAAATTAAGATAATAAAATACTCATATACACAAACCTACCTGGATAGTATTAGACCACTTTTAAAATATAAACGTTAATTGGTGAATATGACAGCTATCAGTAAATATATGATGTACCAGAACAAACTAGGAATAATGTGCACTGAAAGTGTTTCAAACTGTCCAACTAAAACATACCTTAGCTTCTTCGACTGCTCTTGTTGGTAAATATATACGTGGAAAGGCGTACATTGCCCCTTGGACTGGATTGCAAGACATATTTGGCATAGTATTTAGAGCATTGTAGGTTATATTAGCTTTTTCTTTTAACGCATTCAATACATCATCACGTTCTCTAACAAAAATAGAATATGACGGTTCATTTGGCTTCGGTGGATTTACAACAGCTTCCATTACCACCTGAAACGAATTGACAAAACGAAAAACATAATAGTAAGGACTATATGATGAGAATTTACTAACTGTTCAGTATGAAAAAGATGGAGAATAATTCGAAAATTTTTTATGACATTCTTATTTAAGCACGAAACCGTCTGTTAAATATAGTCAGTCCTTTCTGTCGTAATAAACTACATGCTTAAATTCAGATAAATAATTGTAAATTGATACTGGGTGATGATTACATGTAAAATAAAAATCAGGGCCTCAACAGGATTTGAACCAGCGATCTCCAAGGTTACCGGCCCAAATTTCCATTTCACTTCAATCATCACTCAGCGTCATTACAAGTCTCCCAAACCACAGCTATCTTAGATAGTCAAACTGATAATAGTAAACTATGCATACACTTTTTGAAACGATACATACATACCTACATGTACTGACGCCAACACATATATGGTTAGCCAGCCAAGTATAAACTTGTGTGGTATATGGGCTATGAGTTAAACTTAGAGAATCCAGACGTGTAAAATACTAGATCAAAGTTAGGAGCCGAAAATAATGTTACCTCCCTGAACGTGGAATACGAATTTTTCAAAGCGTTTAATTTGTCAGACTGTTCAGTATATGTTTGACACAAACTTCTAGCATAGCTCAGTCGACTCCAGTTAGAATAAATGCACTACTTTATATCCAGTAATATAATTACAGGAAACTGGCTAGCAGGAATCGTCAAAAGTCAGAAGTCAGTACCTACAAAATTGAACAGAACGAAAAGCTTTCCCGGATTCCACTGTTAGCCACAATCAAGTCATTTATAACAATATATATTCGGGCAATATCGAAGCATCCGCATTGGAGACTATATGCCAGCAGAAGTCGGCCAATTCCATCCAATAAAACAACGGAGAATCACAAGTATCAACAAATAGTAATAAGGAATACTGGTTGCACACGAGGTGGATATTGTGCCTCAGCGGCCTAGTAGTTAACACTTTGGCGTTTAAAGTGATGGGTACGACGTTTGAGTCTCAGTGGGAACAACATCCACTGACTGGAGTGCGGATACATCCGGTTGACGAGTTTCAGAAAAGACAAAACCCGAGTCCTGAATTCCACTGCTAGCTACAATCAAATCAACTGTAACAACAGATTTACATGGTTTCAACTATTTATTTGACACTAATGTCTTATCTATTTCCTTACACATTAACTCAATATCTCAAAGTTCCAGATAATACTTTTCCCTCTATGACTACAACATTTTAGTTCTCTGATAATAAGATCTGGAAAATAGGAATGATACACTGACAGACCAAATTTACCAAAACCATTCATTATTAAGCAGTAAATAGCTTAAATTTCTTGAAAGTTGAAACCATAATGAATAAGGTCCTATGCTATACCAAATACATGTAGTTAGTTACTACTGATCACTGATGGAGCATTGCTAATAAGCTTACACTATGCAAATGAATGGATATGTATTGAGAAGTTACTCAACAGAAAAGTTCAAATGCCAGTTGGAAAATAAGAAATAACTTACTTGACCCATTAAAGGAGGACATAATCGGGCTGAAAGAGCTTTGAAGAGCTGTACCTTTACGACTGGATCAAAATTTACCAATTCGCAATAACCTCCACGAAAACCACATCTGGAATCAATGCATATTTAGTGATTAGTGTGTGGAGTGAGGTATAAGTAAATGTAAATAGGCTATAGGATATCAAATCAAATAATTTTGTATACATTTCTTTGAATTCTAGTTTGTTTTCTTTTCTAAGCAATGAAACTCATAAGAGATTTTTTTATTCCACACCATACTGCTTTGCTGCAATTTATTTCGATATAAAATACTTGGTTGGGACCATTGAAAGTATCTAGTCAGATTTTTCTCAGAAATTCTAACAGTTATATACTTAGGAAGATTGATTATTGGAGCCAAAAAAAGCCTGGGTTACAAACAGTAGGGTTGAAACTAATGCTTTTCTGACAACTGGCCGAAGGTTTACATTACGAACAGCACATTGACCAAACCTATCTCATAGTCTAATCAGCAATAATATATTTTCAACTTTCAATGTTCTCATACAGCTTATAAGACATTATTACTACATCAAGACTCTTATAGCTTGATAAGTGAAGCAAGGATTCGTTGGTGTTCTACTATCAATACGCATACATATATAGTGTCAACAAGAGTCATAAGTGAGTGAGATTAAAATTCAGTCGCCTTGTTCAGGTTCATAAAGTAAGTTTCGTTACACTCCTTCTGCGATGTCTAATGAACTAAGATTTGCATGCATAAATAAGTGTTTGAAAGTTGATTACTCAAACCAATAGACCGTTAGATCACTTCATGTCTTAAAGTAACCAGAAAAATTAAGTTCACCTTCATAGTTTAAAAAACAGATTTAGAGTGACATGATTATTTCAGAAGCTACAATGTATAATCAATTACTGTATAAATATATTTAAGCTACATAATTCATATTTCATGAAAAAAAACTGAACATTGAAAATAGTCTCAGTAGAATGTCAGGTTAAACTGGAATATTTTCAGTAAAACTACAGAATGTATGAGTTTCATGTATCTATACACAGAAATATCTTTGGACTTCAACAAATTTGGTACAAAGAACTGTGACCAACATTACTTGAAAAGCATAGGTCCACTCAATAAAAGAATCTAGTTAATACTTCAAAGAATTTAAAAAATAGCAGTTAAGCTGTATTTCAACTACTTTAAAAAATTAATACTGTTATTCAGACGGACAGATTCCCTGTAGAACTTCGCACACAAATGCACCCATTAAGATTGCCACACTTCACAGTAGTAAACAAAGAACAAGTGGACGGAAAAAGAGTGATACCAAAGTAGACAAAGTTACATAAGAGAATAAACAGTTTGAAGATAAAGGTTAATACGAATATTCAAGCTTAAGAAGACGTCAAGGAGTGAATACATCTGTGACATTGCGACCGATTTTCAGCCATATCATCAAGAGTTCTAAACCACAAATTCCTATCGTCTCGGGAATCCAAACTAGATAATCTACTTCTGCAGATCAACATCCAATAGACCAACTCGCGTATTGTTACTATAATTGGAAGATGTGGAGATCACTTGTGCATAACACAAACTGTCAAGTTCCGAGTCGACTTGAAACAATTAACTAGGTGTAGTAGTTGCCAGTTATCGAATGCTTCATCCTCAGTTTCGTCTTTGAATTTGAACAACTTTCACAATTTTCTTGACGATTCATTGTATGCTATCATGTGACGTATCAAAATTTTAAGCTATTCATCGCACTGTTAGAAAGATATCACCTACCAAAAATGATAAGTGCGATAGCACGTTTAACAATTTAATGACCATTATATTGGAAGAATAAAGCACAGTATCATATTTGATATGCAGATCTACCAGGATGAAGAACTCCTACTACCCCTGAGAATTCAAGTTATTCATTATGATTCGATGCTCCATTAAAATGATTTTTCGAAATGCCTTTCAAAATGACCACGGTTATGTAAGTCACATCTCTGATAGGTTTGCTCAAGTTTATCCTGGGAACAGCCTACGCTTAGTACTAAGACACAAATTTATCAATGGAGTATCTGTTTTATTCAGCTCTATCAAAGAAAAACTTCTACGCATGTTACTTACCTGCTCTGCATATTTTATCGCTATCTGAAGCTGATGTCATGACGACCACAATGTTATCAGATTAAGCCCCACATATTATTTCCTGATATATTGTTATGACAAGCACTAAGTCTCTCACATAATGCAGTCATAATTCTGCATAACATAATGAATAAAACTTTTCACCACCTATACCATAACTTGCTGAAAATACTTGAGCATGTTGCAATGACTTACGCTGTTCAGACGCTTCCCATCCACCATTACCAATTTTCTCATAGTATCAAAACGGTTGTTTTATTGAATAAAGAATATCTAACAATATGAGAATAATTTTCCGGTTAACTTACTCTCCCATGTAGCCTTTGCTACAAGACATTAACGAGGCCAGTTCCAGTTTGTCTGCATAACTTGGTCCCATTTCAGATAGGACCTGTTAAAGCTTACCCATGGATACTTATCCGGTTGATAAACATTGTGTTGATAAACTTCATCAGCTATTAACAACAATCGATTTTCAACTGCAAATTTAATGACATCTTCCATACATTTACGTGGAAGGACTTGGCCTGTTGGATTCCCTGGATTTATAATAACTATAGCTTTTGGTACGCATTCTCCTTTCGCACCGGTTAGTGCACGTTTCAATTCATTTGCGGACAATGACCAATTGTCACTTTCATCTAAATAGTAATTGATCTAAAACATAAAAACAGTTGAATTGTTTGAAAAATAAGATGCAAGAAATTATATAATCAAACTTATTTTAGAACTAGTTGAATAACAATAGTAGTCGAAATGGATGGAAAAGGCTGATCATGTACCAAGGGTAAAATTACTTACGAAATTTGCTGAACAGTAATGGAATTATCTTACGTTTTATGATTATCGTACATTTGTGGTGCAATTCTCCACTTCTTACCGCAAAACTAGCAGAGTAGCATTATTGCTACTTAATATTTTCTTGAATGACAAGTGAATAGCACAGAAAAAGAACACTGAACTCTCCACCGAAAAGTATAATTAAACTGCACAAACATTCTGTTTCAAAGTCTAATAAAACCGACTAATGTCATATGTTTAGTTCCCTTGACAAATTTGAACAATGCAAAAACAAAGACATTTACAGAATAAAATCAGCTGTGTATATCAATTCATCTGTGCCTATGGAAGGGAATACATAGGAAGGACCAGAAGAAAGGCGTCTGCTAGATTTTATGAGCATATTTGAGAAATCCGTGTCTGAAAGGTACCAAGGTCTTTATCAGCGCAATTACCAGGTATCTGATTGAAACAAGACAACGGACAATGTTTTTCAATCCTTCAGGATAATCACCAAACAAATAACCCCATTATATATAACGATAGACAGTGGCTGGCAGTGGAGTCCAGGAAGCGCGTTTCGTTCTATTTGGGACTCGCCATCTGGATGTACCTGAGGTAAACAACATCAAAGAATGCCACGTTTATTACGGCTTGTGGAAGCTGCCACCATCAACTGCACCTTTATACTCAAAAAAAGACTGTAATTAACCTTTCTTTTCCCTGGTATGTGATTTTTTGCATATGTATACATATAACCCTTTCTTGTTGATTGCATCATCTCATTACTTACTTACTGAGTGTTATTCACCCACTTCAACGGTCCTCCAGTCTTTTTATCTAAATACGTAACACACTACCCCTTTAACAACCCCTTCTTTTACCCCACTTTCCACAGCTACAAAGTTTTCTGTTTCACCAGATACAAATTGCCATCGATTTTGACCAAGATTTATGATTACTAATTCTTTATTTCCTTGATTCATTTACCACCGTATTTATAATCCTGGATTTTGAATCTTATTTATTTCTATATATTTAGAGTATCTTGTTTCATCATTAATACTAATATTTCCTTTCAACTGTAGACTGTTTGTAGCTGATAAAAAGCTGTGAAATAAGATGAACTCACTTTATTCTGCAAATATCTTTGTTCGTGCAGTGTTCGAAATAAATAACCTCTTGATCTTTTCTAATTTAAGAGTTTCGGATGCAATTTTTATATACATGATCAGATTCGCACTGTCTAACAACAAACTAAGTGAAATATGTAATTTACAATTAACTGTCACCATCGTCGAAAAAGTTCAATATCTTCTGGATTGATATTACTCAAACAAGTCTTTTTGATATTCAGTGATTGTATATTTCCAAGAATTACCATTTAGCACATGGATAGAAAACATAAATATTAAAGTAGGTAACAATAACATGAAATTTTCTTATTAATCAATTAATTATCGCTGGTTTCAGTTACACAGAGAAATATAAACTGTAGGAATAAAAAGTATGAACGAGTAAAAATCACTGCATTAATTACTGTTGAGGGAGCTTTTTACATGTTAGTAGCGACGACAACTTTTTTTCCAGTTTGGCCAGTTTTCTTGTGTTAATTTAATCATACCTTCAAATAAATGCAGAAAAGTGATAAAACCTTGCGTCGATTAAAGCTAAATTCTGCAAATTACAATATACTGCTATTTTATTACGCTCATACTGACTCACACTGGTTATATTTTGACTGGTTTACATATCTCAACGTATTTTGTACCAAGAAGTGACATCATGTACAATGTCGTTGGAAACCTGGAGCTCTTGGTCATAAGATCATCATTTCAACTAATACGGTAAATAAGCATATTATATGGTTGGACTGCAGATATTTTGATGCTAAGCACCTCCTCCAAGCTTTTTCTCAAGAACCGGACTAGTAACTACAAAGTCGTTTCGTGGAAAACGCGTATAGAAAATGACTATAATGTACTTGGTAAATCACTGTAGGATGTAAAACACCCCTTACACTTTGCAGAAGTAGTGCAAAATACTGCTATGAGGTTGAAACCTCCTGATTGCAACAGTTATAAATATTATTACTCGGTAACTGATTCGAGGTTTCTGCTCCTGCACGGGATTATTACCTGTTTTGGGGAGACAGACAGACTTTCTGTTTATCTAGAGCCTGTAAACTGCTACTCAAAAATTTAACACCATCAAATCCAATTTCACCGGCTCTACGGTACACCAACTAACCACTCGCAATAACCATAAACATGATTTCATTGTCCTCAAAATACGAAATAAAGGCTGTTCAAGAAATAGTCTAAGTTTGTACTGAAAGAAACAATCATATTTAAAATTAATAACAACATACTCTTAAAAAGCATCGCTAAACGTATAAGAACCCAGAGAAGCCATTATGTTACGAGGAATTTATTACTCTTAGAATATCTGAAAACACTCCAATCATTTATCTCTCAGCTTAAACAGGTTAACAAAACTGCTTAGTAATTGATTCTAATGTCTATTATGAGGATTCTTTCTTACTCAAAGTCGTGTTATAACATGATGTTTTGACGATGCATACAAAGAAAGAAAATTTGCTACTCTTTAACAGCATTTTTACTTTCAGAAACTTTCAACCCGTTTACATACACGTGATCGAGAACAATCTTAAGTACAGAAGAGGCTGTGACTAGACCAAATGAATTGTCCCAGACATTTGTACCAAAAATCGGATATTTAAAGCAAATGCAACGGAACTTAGTCTGACTAAATCATTATACGACGAGAAAGAACCTTGAATAAGACCAACTGAAGTTTGGGGGAATTTATTCTACAATTCGTACTTTTAAAACAGCAACAGGCTACTAGTAAATAGGCTGACAATGATGAAATTTCAAACCACAACCATTCTTGTGGCGCCTAGACGCAATATCTGTTCACATTCACGTATATCTGAGATTGCTATGCGTCAATCACATACCTGGATAATTCATGAAATGCGTTATCCTTGGCCTAAAATGAGATTATATTTTGTTCATTCTATAAAATCTAGTTGTTGTGAAGTTGTGCGTCATTTAAGTTGGTCACCATCAAAGTTGGTGATTGGTGAATTCAAAAGTTAACTGCTACTAACCAACCAGTTAAAAACAACCTCTGTGTAATTGAAGGGTAAAGGCTATTTTATAGTCCAGATATTCAAAAAAAATACTGCCCCAAAAGACATAACTGTGGTCACTAACAGCGCTTTAAATGAATACAGAAACTATAAATGAGAATTCACAAAATACAATGTAAAGCACCTGAAGTAATCTCAAGCATAAAATACAGGTTAGTTATTGACTCGAAAATGCATTTTGAAGATAATAAAATAGCAGTCTTAGTTATATATTTCGGAATCACGATAAACCGAAACATCTGTTTATTAAACCATATCTTTGACGTGGCTCAGAAAGTGAAATAAGAATGAATAATAAGTTATTATTGTCTTTGTGCGACTAAATTCTCTGAAAAACTATTTATGGTTGCTTAAAAACGTGTTAACTCAATGAAATTATGAGTTAAAACTAAGATTTGATATGAAAACTAACCTGGAAGTTATTGTTTTCGGAATTGGTAGCTGAATATAGTGGATACTGTGGTATCGGAATCATAACGCCTGCTCGTGCACTGCCTTGACCAGTGGAGGAAACCATCTGAAGTAGTACCTAGAAACAAAAGCCGGAATATCGGTAGAAGAAAACTAACTGAATTTAAGGGAAAAACCTTTTCTCGTTAGTATGCAAAGTAAAATTCGTATGATAAATAAATGATAGATCTATAGGTTTATTAGTTAGCTAAGTGATAAGTTTATGTTCACAGTTTTAGAAGCAAACAACATCCATAACGTTCGATCAAATTTATATTCGAGGGTAGACATTTCCATCAGGTTGATGACTTTGTCATGTGAAGTCCTTTCGGCCCGCCTTTAAGCAAAGATATTTGCGTCAGGTGAAAAATTTAGCAGAGAACCTTATTTAGAAATCCCATCTATGCTGAAGATATGTACGGGATATTCTAGTTATTTGTGACAACTCAAGTCAGTCCACGTCAATTCTAAACCGATCGAATGAGGTGCATAGTAGCATATCTTTGACATGTGGAGAAAAGGACGAACGCAAGATAGGTACATAAAGTGTTCTGTTTACGGAACACCTTCATAGATGGGGCAATATTTGAACTATCATGGCTTTTATCCAGTTCAGTATAAGCGACCGTTAGTTAGGTGCTTAATCAATAGAATTCAAGGAATATGGATAGATTATAATTTAAAAGATGAGAAAGAACATTGACTACAACCATCGGAAAATAACTATAAACCAAAGTTTATTAGCCAGAACACAGTAGCCGAGTGCTAAACCCTGCTGTTTACTTTGTTCCAAAGGAGGGTGTCTTTATCAATCTTTCGTACAAAGGTGACTCATAGCGCAATCCTTAACAGAGACCTGACACCACTGTTAAGACTTACTATGCAGCTAGGGTCCAACTAATAGAAACCACTAAGCATATATTCTCTTACAAACCCTTACAGCATATGAATGGCAAGGTCGTATCCCAGTGAATCTACCAATTCAAATGTACGTGTGGTGACACATGCATAGAGAGAGCTCATAGATCCATGAGAATAAGGGCCTCGGAGCATAATCCAAGGTGGCTTGAGAAACAAACTGAATCACCCGAACCCATAAACGTTGGTAGCAGACGTCCAAGTTCTTCAATCACGAAACACATAGTTGAAATAGGTTACAGGATTGATGTTGCCGCTTCCTTAAGACCTTAACGTGTTTTGGACATATTCTTAAATTTGTCGGGGACTTAGCTGTTAAAATGTGTGAACCACCTTCGTGTATTTGAAAACAATTCTTTATCACATTAAATCTGGTAAATTCGACTTTGAAATCAAGTTTGAAGTACTATTACTTTCACTCTACTGATTTTTCGGCCTTTAGTTCCTACTTGACCTCTTTTCATATTCTCATCCCTTGTTTTTACGATTTTTTATATAAATACCTAAGACAAGTACGTGTGTTATCAGATTGTTCGAAATGTATTTCGCAAAAACACTACATGGTTAAGACAATTTACGTGTTATTATTGTTATCGAAGTTCATAAAGCGAACTAATTTCTTTAAACGTTTATACTGTACATCTAGCCTTCAGTTGAGCGAATAGTATTCTTGAACTGCTTCTTAACTTAAACAGTGATAGGCAACCAAATTTAGCAACTACCAGGTAGTCTATCTACGTAAAGTCACGTTTAGCTCAATAAATGAGAGGTTACCAAAAAAATTTATCCACCTCAGGAGGATCTCCAGTTGTTATACGCGAAGATTTTTACTATCTCCGAACAATGAATTTCAGAAGTGCTAAACCCCTCCGTCGTATTCTGAATACATATTTTAGAGATGATAAAGAAAAGAAGCTAAGCACACTAAAATGGGCATCCTTACTGCCCGCAATAACACGACACTGTTTTTATGTCTATTCCATCTGGGTTGCCCTGAAAGACATGGGTAACTGTGTCCTAAAAGCAAGCAAATATGAAATTCATTCAAAATAAAATACACTGAAAGGGAATAAATATTTTTTGTTGTAAACGAAGTACCTTAACCGCCTCCGTGGCTCCATTACAAAGAAAAATATCTTCCCAGTTAGAGTGAATACCATCTCGTTGATGTATGTAATTTGCCACATCTCTGCGTACCACTTCTAAGCCAAGAGAATGACTATAGGAACCTGAGCAAACATTATAAAGCAAACATCCAACCATGAAATCCAACAGTATATGAATATTTAATAGGACATCACTAAATAAATCATAAGATCACTTCATAAAAATCGCTGCCAATTCAGTAGAAAACCACAGCATATGTTAAATTAACCAGTAATCAGTTGTTCTTTAGCCATGACAACAAGCTTGCTGCAGCCTCACGACTATATGATGAATCCAGTCATATTCTTATGACTTCTCAAATGTCACTTCACAACTAGGGTTTTCTCTGAGTTTCAACTGATACATTCTGTATGGTTTTCTGGTATTATGGAATGATGATCAGTAGCGGTATCCAATACATACAGCTCGCCTAATCATAGACTCAATAACTATGTTTACCATTCTTTGAACCTGATCGTTCCCCTCGAAACCCAAACCGAACAGCTAATGCCTCAGTATCGAAACACTAGGTCAGTGGTTTTCGTGAGCAGTGGGTTTTAAATTCATCAAATAAAAAAATAAATAGGATGCTAATAAAATTAACTGTTGCTTTTTAGGCAGGAAAAATAATCTGTGTTCCATTTTTAACCACCATTTAATACTGTCGAAACACAACTGACAATAATATCAAGATATCCATGCGAAAATCTGATATCTCAAGCGACCGATCAGTTAGGATTGGTAAATGGACGCAGAAGTTACGGACGATAACCAGTGATTTTCGTTCATGAAAACCGAGTGGGTGATGTTCTTTAGGATTGAAGACCGGAACTGTGTATTTATAGCAGGGAAAAAATGCGTTATTCCTGGTCCAAAAATGCTGATTTTCATAAGTCTTCATTTCACAAGAAATTTACTTGGTAGTAAAAAGCCTCGACGGCGATGACCAAATAATACTCAAAAGAGATCAAACAGCAATCAGCATCACAAAAGAATGGAAAAACGAGGACCCCTAATCAAAAGAAAAATTAAATAGTCACCGTTATATATATTACACAACAGGTCAAAAATTCAGTGTTGTTATACTCAGCCATCTGGAAAAAAATGGCAGTACATTATGAAAAGCAGGATTTACATTTTATTTTGCTGCGAAACAAGTCAAAATTGTTTCACATGTATTTTGTGGAGTTTATAAAATATGTGAATATATATTTATATATATGATCTACAATTTATATGCCACGTATGACATGAAAAGAACCGTAAACACACTGAAACATTAATCCAAATACCAGAAAATGGATGAAGCAGACTCACCTACGCTAGAACCTGAACAAGCAGTAAGCACAGACATAGCTCTCGTTTTAGCATCCTCAGAAAAGTCTTCATCTTCGAGTAATTGAGGATAGGTGACAAGTGAAGCAATTTGACGGATGAATGTTATAGCTTTTTGGCCAGTAGCATGACAATCACCAATGTTACACTTGACAACTTCATTGAATGATTTACTGACACCCTTACAAATTTAATTAGGAAAAATGGCTGCTTTATACCTGCTTTAATTCTTTTCAATTTCTATTGCACGGTCTACAATTGGGCCACGAACTGCATATTCTATCTTTATCACATTTGGATTGATGGTATCAAGCGTCAAAACCTTCCCCATGTCCAGACAATTTGGATTGCCACAGAAACCGAGACCACATCCAACTTAATAACTGAAACATACAAACAAAGGTACAAGGGCATATGGAAGTCGATTACACTATGCTTTTCTAACCTCTTAATGACCATGTATGACAAATAATTATATGGTGCTGTACATATTTGTCTAAAAACACGAACAAACCGAACCAGTATCAATAGTTGATTTCCTAGTTTAATTAGCTGATTTACTCAATCAGTAGAATAAGGATTTTGCACCATGTTGTCCCGTTTTTCAAACAGTCTTTGGTACGGCTTACAATAGCTTTCAGGTAAAGGAAAGGATTTTTGTATCTGAAATACTGCTGAGTGCGGACACTGGCAGCTGATTCGTCATGACGGCTAGTTATGAATAAGTTCCAAGCGATGAAGCATGAATTCTGTGGGCTAATTACTAGCACCGATGGTTTGATTTCGTTGGTAGAGCTTATCTTGCATGCTTTATGCAGCCAAATAGTTTTTCCAGTGACAGTGTTACTGCATATAGCCATCCATATCTCACTAAAATTCATTCTGTGGTTGAAGATGAGCTTGTATTTCTCACAGAATTTCCGTTGAATTTCTGTATCCCAAATGTGAAAAAAGGCTTCCTAAGTTTCCTACCATGACAGCTGCATTTCTGTCATTTGGCGATTTCTAAATAGCCAACATGTCTTCAAAGGGGTTAATAAGACATATGCTGTGTTTAATAATCGAAAGACAGGGCCCTCAAGAGCACCCTTTATTCAAATTTTGAAACAAGTTCAGCCTTCAGCTTCAATCCTCACAACAGACAATAGAGAAATTCCAGAAGAACTTGGTTGTACTTATCTCATGGGTTGCTGGACTGCACTGGACAAGGCAAACGTACAAAATCATCTTTGCAGAATATGTGCAGTGTTCCGGGTTTGTACATCCCTTCCCGTGAATTTAATGGATCACAGTGGGATCAGCGCTGAATATATGGACATTGTTATCACCATTATCAGATATGTATTCTAATGAGTTGCTTGGCGATGTTTTATTTCAGTCCATCCCCTCGTTGCAGGAAGACCGCTGTGTATTATTCTTTACTTGCCTATGTCATGCAAGCTCAACTGCTATTCTCTTATCAACCTATAGCAGTTATCGGTCATTTCTGTGGCCAGTTTTCCTGCTTACTTTTAGGTTTTCAGTGAGAAATGAAGACAGCATTCTGGCCAGCTTCAGAAACTTACGGTTCATCATTTTAATTGACAACACATTTAGGTTTTCAAGAACGCCACGTAACCATGCTGCAGAAGTAAACGACAACCATAACCTTAGCGTATCACCTGGACAATTTTCCAAGTTAGCTGCAGACACCAGCGGTGGCTAATTTCATCAGTGGTTTTACACTCTACTGAAGGGTTCACAAATGTTTAAGTTAATAAGGTTTGCTTCCTATTGAACATCAAATTCAAACTGCATTTCCTTAAATATGATGAGCTTGTAGCTCCAGTATACCACCACTTCCAGTGAAACAGGCTAACAGTGCTCTCACCATGTTAAGTGGCACTAATATTTGGCAGAAGATTATGGATACAAATAATTTTCTTCGTTTTTCATCAGCAGGACCATCTGAGTTTGTTTCTGCATACTCGAATGTCTATGCAAAAGAGTATGCATGATGACATCGAAATCTATAGATTTCGAGGATGAAACCTGGGTTCACTGTCGGCAAATATACAATGCGGGTCAAGAAGCATACTTATTGGGTAAATCGTTTTCAGAAAATCTTGCTCTGTAGTCTAGTCTCCATAATTCCTGAAGTGTGACTACAAGTTCTTACATCCCTAAAGACAGAGGCTAACTACATATCGGCTCCAAATAAATGAGGTCCACTTTGTTACATAAACCCCAAGAGACCGTCGCTGACAGGCGTTCATATTCATGAGATAATGGAATGGATGGGCCCCTTCTGGGTTACAGGCTCATAATTATTACGATCCACACTTTGGAAGCAGTTAACTGCTGCTGTTGTCCTTTTAGGTGAAATATATAACAGCCCGCACAGAAGAATTTGGGTGCACTTAGTCAAAGACTTCAAACAGATCCCTGCAATCTAACCTGTTTTTCTTCTCTTTTCAGCTTAAGCTTGAAGAGAAAGTGTCGATTATAATTCTGACCGAAAATACCAACTCACTGAACATACTACTTTGTGCGTGATATCAGAAATTATTCGAAAAAGTTTCCAACTGGTTTCCCCAGTGATTTCCAGTTCCCTAAAATATTTCACAGTAAACTCGCCCAGTTACCAACATCCTAGATGCTACCACGTGCGAAAACTAAAATATAGTACCTGGTCTAAGGCGTCTGGACGGTCATCGTGGCAGCGAAAACCTAGACAAAAAAACTGAATCTAAGAAATAAACTCACCTAGTGACTCAAAGTGAGACATATTCGCCAACAAACCCAGGCAACAAACTTCTCCAGCACTTTATCTCGTTTGACTCCGTCTGAAAGAGGACAATTAACGACCAACATATTCCCTGATAATGCTGCACTTCTCAATGTGAATTCTGTGTGCAAGACTCTATTACCATTTTCATAGTAGTCCTTCAAGTGTTTATTTCTTTTTAACGAAACAACCAGTTCTTATGGCCGACGTCTGTATTTCTGTGTAGAGTAACACGATAAGTGGGAAATGCATGGTCTTGGATATTCACGTGGACTAGACGGTTATGTTACCACTTACTGTTATTAATGAAGAGAGATTTTGTTGGTCAGTGATAGTGCTTTGAAAGCTGCAGAGCTGGGGGAAATGAAAAACAAATTAGGATTGTCGACGGTGATATGTGAATGTGAGTTATCATTCAGAGACGTTCAAGGCGTATATTGACCAGTGCGGAGTTAGGTAGTGATGGGGTTCTGTGGGTAGTTGATGCGTCCAAGCCGATCATACCCTGTAAACATGGTCTTCCTGAAGATAAGAAACAAATCCAAATTGTTAATTGTGGCTTGTGACCATAGAAAGAAAACGAGACACTTCCAGGAACAGTCAACTGTGTGCCGAGCCCAGTTATAAGACGTATTCAGCCAACACCCGCTCCATTTCACTTCAGATGCCCCTTTAGGTAACTCCTTGTCAGCGTTAATTTCTGATGGCTAACGAGAAACATTTGACCTTTGACACAATTCATCAAGCTAATGATATGATTTCACCTTCGAATCCACATCATGGCATAGCGGTTAGCACTATAAAATTAGATAACTCCCTGTCTTACCACCAGTGAACGAACACCCCTGATATTTGTAGACCTCAAGGAAAAGCCGTTACAGCTTCTGTAGCCGGTTGGGGCATTGTGATATGCCAATGATGGGCATAGAGACGTCAGCAGGGAGGAAAATCCAGTGGATAGGTTTACGTAAACCTAAGTTGAGGTAGGCATATTGTCTCCCGAATGTTGCGATTGCCTTGCTGTTGGCTGCTTGAAGATTGAAGGATGGGTCATGCTGACGCTCCTTGTCGGTGCGGGAAGAACGCTAACTTCTGCACCGGTGTCGACGAGGTAGCGGACTTTCGTTTTAACTTCCGTGACGTAGAGCAAACGGCTATTTCCGCCGGCTACGGTTGCCATGAACACATGCCGGAGTGACCGTCTCCCGAGTCTGTGTCCTTGTTAAAACTTCATGGTTTCCGACATTTTCTGGCTTCGTCTCCGTAAGTATTATGAAACCAGAATCATTCAGAGTTTTCCAGCCTGTTAGGTTTAGTTTTGGGGCCACCATGCGATTTGCTGCGATGCACTAAGATGCGTTTCTCAGGAGTTCAACGTGAACTAGTACTTCGAAGTCGTAGCAACTGTTTAACAGAGTTGCACAGCTTGGTCATCTCTGAATCCTGGCTCTCTGGTTTGTCGCAGACAGAATATACGTTGGAGACGGGTCTGCTAGAAATCTCCAGTATTTTATCTGCCGAGGCTGCCAGGTCATTGAGTGGGACTGACCGCAGTGTCACCAACATGGTTTGCACCGATTGTGGTAGTTTCGAAAGAAATAGTTCTCGGAAGAGGCCATAGTCGAACGTTCGTGCACCCATGACTTCTCGCATGCATGCAAGGACCTCGGTAGCTGAGTGGCTGCCTGGCTCGATGTTACGAAGCAATTCGTCTAGGCGCTGACGATCTGTCAGATCGCTTTTCTTCAGGAGTGCGGCCTTGAGAAGTGCATAAGGATCACTTACTTCAGGATTAAACATGTGTGCTTTATCATACCTGTTTAATTCTCGCGGTAGTGAAAGTATGACAGCAAGAAATCGAGAATGAGGATCTGAGACGCCCTGTTCTCGAAAATCTGCCTCGGCGTACAGAAACCATGTTTCCGCATTATCTGGCCAGTATGGCACTGGTTGCATCGTGTTCGTAGTCGGCTTAATACGAATAAGCTTGGGAGTGTGGTCGGACATGAGAAAGTGTAGTAAATGGATATATAAATGTTATCGAAATGAAAACAATATAAAAATATAAAATGGAACAGGCTCACCAATTCAATATTTGTTACTGGTCGGGATATATGATCACGTCGGGCTCAGCAATTTAGGATTTGTCCTGGTGCGAACTTGACAGACACCAAGACCAACAACTAATTATTCGGACTTGTTTTATACGCACGAATACAAGACCAAGAAATAACACGATAGCGTAGTCGGATGCAGCAGTATATTTGGATGGTTGTGCCAAAATACCGATGCGTTTCAACTGGCTAGAGAGTCGAATACGAGCAGTGCAACGTGACACAACGGCGAGCCGAATGGTGAGGATGCTTGACCGGGTGCCTTCAGCTTACCGAGTCCAGTTAAACTATCAAGGTCAGCATCAATGTAGAAGTCGCCAAACCCTAGGCTATTGATTTTGGGGAAATGTGTGACGCTACAATACAGTCCTGGACAACTATCGATCTGCAGCTTGGGAGACTGAATAATAGGGAGTTTAGGACAACGCGAGTAATGTCATGGGTAAACTAGTGACACCATACATCTTATTTCTGGCAGAAAGTTAGGATAGATAATAAGTGGACAAGTAGCAATGATCGCCATTTCCCAGTTGGAGGTTGACCGTTAGCTCTGCGCTCAGTGATACTCAGTTCAACCAGTTTAATGACCTACTTTTTTAACTCTTGAAGTCTTGCCGACTACGGGAGTTAATTCCACACTGTCATCTGAATGAATGCCGGGCGTTTACCTTACCCTATAGCTACGACCGAGTAGCGGTGGTGCGGAATTTTTGTCGAGACTCATTGCAATCGCCCCGTATGCTGCCTAGCTGACACAACAACAACAAGAAGCGTCAGCTTGGAAGTTTTAAGCAATGGTAAAGCTGAGGTATTCCGACTGACTGGGTTCCTTGATAAATGGCCGCCCAGAGTAGCATTTCTGTTGCTAAACTGAGCCAACACCCGTGTCAGAAGAGTTTTAGGTCGGGCTGCTGATCTTAATGCAGATTAAGTGGGTCTATGTTATCAAATTTTCGCGAAAAAGATGACTAGATCACAGGTTATATTTATTGTGATTTTAAAAATATCATTAATTGGGTGCTGTTGTGAAGAGATTTGCTCACTCAAAACTTTTGGATCCTCTCTGCATTCCATCAACTGCTTATAAGTTCTGCTAGGAGGTTGAACGACAAGAATCAACACCAATTCAGCTAGTTCCGATGATCGCATGGCCAGCGATAGATCTGCCGCTCCATTTATCTGACAGTTTGGGGACAGACGTTTTTGAATCTGCTGTTTCAAGATCTTGTTTACATTTGTGGAAGCAATGCTGGTAAGCTGTCCTGTTCATCGCGAACCCAGAAACGTTTATGGCGTCTATGGAAATCTCAAACCTCATGGGTATCGAAGCATGTTCGGAGCTACTAGATCAGAATGAAAGTAATCAAGTGGTATCACTTGATTTTTTGCGTAATTTGATAACACAACATTTATGGGTAAGAGGAACATACAAATTTATGTACAGATCTTCTGCGTGCTAGAGTGGAAGTTTATTTCCTCTGAAATCATAAAAAAGCAGTCTTTTTATTTACTTCTGTGGCAATGCACTTAGTCACTGTCGATAATCCTACCGCAAACAGTAGGTAATTAGGCATACTTCAACATTCCTCTCGCAATAGCTTCCACAGCTCTCCACTGTGGCGATGTGTTGTTCTTACACCCTTAGTGTGGCTGAGTAAGCG